TATGTTGAAAAAATGTGCAACCGTGACAAGTTACAGTTTTGAAAAAAATTAAGGGCATGGGAAAATGTGCATAATATAATGTTAAGTGGAAAACAATCAGATGGAGGAGAATGAAAGTCATCTCAGGTGGTATTATTATAGGTACGTTTATGAATTTTCAAAAATTTTGATGATGAACAATTGTTTTTATAATCATAAAAGAATAATACACATTAATGTATACCTTGAAAAGATCCCAGTAAAGCTTGGGCAATTTTAGCACCTAGCTCTCAATAAATGTTTGTGGGGTAGATAGATGGGTGGGTAGATGAATGCATGAATGAATAAATGAATGATAGCTGACATTTGGAGGTATCACCATTGAGTTTATAGGACTGCAGAAATAACAAATGTAAATTTGTTAGTTAAAAGGAGAACATTACAGACCAGTCATCAATTTGAAAGTTGGCATGGAAAGTACCAAAGGGTCACAAAATAAGTGAGTGGCTGACAGTAACCAAAGAGTTGTGGTCTGCCCTTGGGTTCCTTGCTGCTCTTGTTGCCCAGTTCTCAACACCATGGTTCCTTTTATTCTGTGTGTGTCCTTGAAATATTTCTTGTGCCTGCTGTTTTCACCCTAGTCTCTGTTCGGTTTAGCCAGTGACAGACCATGGTGAGAATGAAATCAAAGTCATGAGTTTAATCCCTGTTTGAACCAGTTAACACTTCTTCATTGCAAGAGGTATTCCAAGTCTAACTGGCTGGTCAACTCTCAGGTGCTTATTGTCATATGGACAAACAGGAGAGTGTTGGTAGGTCAGGGCAACCTGCCTCTAATACTTGTAAAACAATGGAAACTACCCCTGTACTGAAGGCTATGTGTTCTTCTATTTTTAAGATTAGTCATCCGAAACACTATTATATTACTAGGTGGAATATATGCCTAATTCTAGCTACCGAAGAAATTAATATAAAGCTTAATCATCACAATTTTTTAATAACAAACTTCACTATAAACTATTCATGAAAACTCTAAAAGGGATTGATTGACCTGTATTCTATCATATAAGGTCTTAATAGCATTGGTATATTTTGATCAAATTGTTGAACAGAATCTGACTTCTTTGCAAGTCCATTACGAGACCACATCGAACACATGAATGAAATCTAAGCGTTTCCCCACCAGTGCATTCTCTTATCTATGAAGGAGCCTGCGTCAAACAAGCCATTAGACTTTTGCATAGCATTCTTTATCTCTGCTCTTGGTGGCTTATTAAATGCAGCGTTTTTAATCAAGATTACTCTTAAATCTACCTATATGATAGTGATGCCTTGTTTGTACCTGATCTATCTTGAGACTGGATATTAGATTTACTATTTGTCCTTTTCAACTCCAGTCACGTCTCATCACTCATTTTCCAAAACCCTAATCGTGGTTGAGTACTTCAGAGTTCTGAGCCTAATTGTCCTTGTGCTGGAGGTCTTAATATCTGAATGTGATGGACTCTCTGAAATTGGTCAGTTGGTTGATTGATTCTTCAGGTTTTTCAAGGAAGAGGATTAATATTTTCTGAGCACTTACAATGTGCTGTACTTTTCTAGGCATGTTCACATACATTATGTGACTTAATTCTCACTTTAACCGTATAAGGTAGGCATTGTTACCTTACTTTTATAAGTGAGGAAACAGCTTTGAGAACTTAAATGACTGAATCATAATTTGAACACTGGTCTATTGGACATCAAAGCCTGTGATTTTTGCACTTCACATACTAACTCCTGGGGATCAGAGGATTTCTTAGACTGAACCTAATAACACACTGATCAATTAACTAGCCTTTCCTCAGCTTGTGCCTTTCTTCTGTAACTTAAATAATTTTCATTCCATTTTGCGTATGTTACTTTGGAAAGATAAGCTATTTGTAGCAAGGCCAGGAAATTAAGGCCCCTTTGAACCACCAATAAGGAGGACATTGGTTTGAGCCTGCGTTCAATTTTGTTTGAAACCCAGTTACTATTTGTATTTTCCTAGTTTCCAGTAACTCAAAACCCAACCCAAGAATGTTTCTTATTCCTAGATGTTCAGCACTTCAAGGCATTGGCTTCCATCATCCACTTGAGCACCAAGAAGTCTTCAGTTGTAGGCACATAAAGCATCCTGTGGTGAAGGCACACGTTCTTCCTCTGGGCCAAAGTGGTAAGCAGAGCAGCTGAAAAAAGACCTACCAAAGGAGGGTGATGTGTATTAGAATAGATCAGTGAGAAACAGACCACTTGGGCTGGAGGTTGAGGGTGAAGTTGAGAGGGAAGTTTTTTAAGAGTGTGGACATTGACAAGAATGATCATTACCCTCTGACACAATGAGGAAAGAGAGCTAGGGGTTAATCTAAGATTAAAAGGGAATTTAGAAAATGCAAGTGCAGAGCATCATGATGTAGTGGTGTTCCTTTGAGAGGAGGATGACCAGATTCCATCCAGGTTCTGAGCAACATACTTTGAGATTTGAATGAAAATGAAATCTTTTAAGGACCTCTTGGAATTAGCCAATGTTGAACTCAAATGCATCCTCAGGCCATCACTTTAGAACTCTGTTTCCTGCTTCTAGTTGACCTTTCACAGCAGCTCTGGACCCCAGAACCTGTAGCAGAAATCTGGCTTTCCCGGAAGTTAATTAACAGATCACTATTTGCATCTCTTAGCTTGACCCTCCTCTTCCAAGTTTGTTTTGGCACCAAATCCCAGACCAATTAATCCACACTGTTTCTGTTTCTTTTTGCCCTCTTTTGTTGTTAATTTATCAGCTTCCTAGGGAGATAATCCAGTTTAGAGCCTTGACAGCCAAATTTGCTAGGAATCAGTGAGGTCAGGAGTTTGGGAAGAGAGTTCTAGGAAAGCTCTAGAGGATAGACAGTGGCTCCTGGATTTCTTCCCCATTCTGTTCTCAAGTGTTTGCTGCCAGAGTTGCCCAGAGAGAGCCTGAGCATAACTCATAGCTGCCAACATCATTTTCTGTCCCCCACAGAAAGCAGAATGAGATCCCTGCTGCTCAGCGGCTCTCCTGTTCCATTCTGGTGGCATTCTGGTGCGACAGAATTTCTTAGGAAAATGCAAATTTGAGAGTAAATGGAAGAAGGCCTAGCACTGAAGAGCAAAGTGGGTCCAGTGTGGAGAGCATGGCAGTACCTGAATTGGTACCTCCTATCCCTTCCCCCTCTTCCTTCCCTCCCAGTGTCTCAGGATTTGTGGTTCAACATTGTCATCAGCAAGTAGCTACAAATAGTACATTAGGCCAACTGAGGGGAAGAGCACCACTGAGTTAAAAAGTTGGAGGGTTGGGAGAGGTAATAGCAGAAATAATTGCAAGATAGGCTGTTTCCCCTAAGAAACACTTTTGATAACCATAGGTTTAGGAAGACACAAGCTTTGGAATCTAATTCAAGTTCCTACAGTTTATACAAGGAGCTCTGGTGGTGTGGTGCCTAAGGCATTTGACTGCAAACCAGAAGCCTGGCAGTTAAAACGCACCAGCCACTCCTTGGAAGGAAGGTTGGGCAATCTACTTCTGTAGTGATGTTGTTGTTATGTGCCATCGAGTTGGACCCGACTCATAGGGACCCCTCCTTGGGTTTCCAAGGCAGTATCATTATGAGTCGGGTCTGACTTGACGGTTAGCATTAGCACACTTCATATAGGAACTCTGGTGGTGTAGTGGTTAAGGTGTTTGGCTGCTAACCAAAAGGTCAGCAGTTCAAACCCATCAGCCACTCCACAGGAGGAAGATGAGGCAGTCTTTTTCCATAAAGATTTACAGCCTTGGAAAGCCTACGGGATAGTTCTACTCTGTCCTATAGGGACACTAGTGGTAGGAATCAACTTGATGGTGGGTTTTTTTTTTTTTTGGTTACACTTTTTACAAACTCACTATATAAAATCCTTGATTTACACCACAGATAAATGGTAGAGGGTAGGAGATGCAGGGACCACTCCCTTCACCAAAGCAGTCACTATTGTAAACAGTTAAAAAGAGAAGACCCTCATTTCTCTAGTGCTGTGCAGTCCAGTACTGGAGCCACTAGCCACATGTGGGTACTTAGTATATGAAAGGTGGCTGGTTTGAACTGCAATGTACTGTGAGGGTAAAATACACACTGGGTTTCAAAGATTTAGTATGAAAAAAAGGGAATAATTTTATATTGACTACTTGTTTAACTGATAATATTTTAGATGCACTGGGTTAAAAAAATTAAACTCAAAAGATTAGATAGCTTAGGAGGCAGTGAGTTAATGAGGGAGAACCAACCCAGAAAAGGTGAGAATGGTTGCACAACTCAGAGAATGTAATTACTGTGAATTGTACATGTAGAAATGTTGGATCTGTGCAAGTTCTGCTGTGTGTACTCTCAACAACAAAAATGAATGATTAAAAAAGCATTAAAATTAATTTCATCAGTTTCTTTTTACCTTTTTAACGTGGCTACTAGAACATTTACAATTATGTATGTGGCTCGCATTATATTTGTCCTGGACAGTGCTTCTCTATCTAGTGCATTCAAAATAAGATTGGACTACAAGCATCCTTTGGGTAGTACATTTCTACATTTCTGAGAGTAAGCGTGTGGTACATTTCTCTAAGCAGTCATACCTGTGCAAAAGAAACAGGCTTATTTCAGAGGAAGGACAGGGAGGAATCAAACCAAAAACCCACTGCCATCGAGTTGATTCCAACTCATAGTGACTCTATAGTACAGAGTAGAACTGCCTCATAGGGTTTCCAAGGCTGTCAGTGTTTCCAGAAGCAGACTACCACATCTTTCTCCCACCAGAGCAGCTGGTGGGTTCGAACCACTTGCCTTTTGGTTAGTAGCCAAATGCTTTCACCACTGCACCACTAGAGCTCTGCGTGAAGGAGTGGAGATTTGCAAGTAGGGAAACTGATTACAGGAGAAAGGACCCTGGCTCAGTTGCCTCTTAGCCTGAGGGTGAAGGGGTAGGGCAGAGGTCAATTGCCAGACACAATTCCCCTAGCTTCATCTGATCTTGTTGGGGCCCAGAAAAGGGGGTGGGGGAAAGGCACTGGGAAACTTCTCTGCTCTCACCTCCTTAGCTGTCAAGCTGTGGCTGGGAGATAGTGATGATGTGGCAGGAACTTTCCCTGGGCCCCTTGGGGCCACCATTCCTGGCAGAGAGAAGGAGGAGGAGTGAGGTGAGCCCCTTCTTCACTCCCAGGACCATCTGGTAAAGCTGCTGCCGTACCTCTTTCTGCCAATAGGCATAGATGAGTGGGTTGAGCAGGGAGTTGCCCACACCGAGCAGCCACAGGTACCGTTCCAGTACTAGATAGAGGTGGCAGTTCTGGCAGGCCACCTGCACAATGCCAGTGATAAGGAAGGGGGCCCAGGACAGAGTGAAGCTCCCAATGAGAACAGCCACAGTGCGGACAGCCTTGAAGTCGTTGGGAGTCTGTGGTGGCCGGTTAGTTCCAACAATGGCTCCTACACGCTCCATCTTTCGGATCTGTTGGCTGTGCATGGAGGCAATCTTGAGCATGTCGCAGTAGAAGAAGACAAAGAGGAGAAGGGCTGGGAAGAAGCCAACGCAGGATAGGGTCAGCACGAAGCGAGGGTGAAACACAGCAAAGAAGCTGCAGGGCCCTTGATAGGTGGGCTGCTGGAATATGGAGACTCCGAGTGGGAGGAATCCAATGAGATAAGACACCAACCACAGCCCGGCAATGCAGACCCCAGCCACGAGCCCACTCATAATCTGGAAGTAGCGGAGGGGCTGCTTGATGGCAAGGTACCTGTCAAAGGCAATCAGCATGACTGTGAGGACAGAGGCAGCTGAGGAGGAAGTGACAAATGCCATCCGAAGGCTGCAGAGGGTCTTCTGGGTGGGCCGAGAGGAGCTGGAGACCTGGTCTGTGACTAGGCCAGAGATAACCACGCCGATCAAGGTGTCAGCCACAGCCAAATTCAAGGTGAAGCAGAGACCCACACCATCGCTTTTATGGATCAACACCAGCACGGCCACGGCCACTATTGCATTTGCAGCAATGATGAGGGAAGACAGGACAGCAAGGACCACACCAAAGGAGAAGGATGACTCCATGTCTTGAAGTGTACAGACTTCTGCTTACCAGGACATGCTGCTTCTGCTGCTCAGATTCTCGTGGGCCAGGGGAGAAGAAGTCGTGGATTCAGAGGGCCAGCACAATTCTGGCCATCGCTGGTGGTCAAGGCTGGCAGCTTGGCATCTTTGGGATCTTGCAGGTCATTGAGGATCCCTCTGTCTCTCTTCTTCGCTCCTCAGCGTCCTGCCTCTCCAGCCCTCTGAAGGCAGCAGTCCCAGTGCAGACCTCCCCCTGGGCCCTGAGCTAGTCCCTCCCCCTCCAGTGACCAAGTTACTAGACAACCCCCAAGTCCCTGGCACACACTATTTTGCCATGATCTCTCCCTTCATTGATGCTTCAAGGACTTTGTTTGGAGGGACAGGGACATTCATTAGGTCTCCTGTCTGGCAGAAGATATAATTGACTCACACTTTTTCCTCCTCCTTAGCTTGATATCAAATTTCCACTTCTTTTCTTCCTAAGCTTCAAGTATTAGCTTAATAACTAATCTCAGCTTAATGAAGCATTTGCTTAATAACTAAATTCTCAGTTACTATTATGAATGCTTTTAATCAAGCAAGATGATCATAATCAGTTCAAGTGGGAAGTGAGGGCAGGTGAGTTATTCCAGGGGGGTTTACCACACATATAAACTGTTTCTCATCCTTTGGTTCCTAGCAGCTCAGATGCTAATCCTCTCAAATAAAGTGTCCTCTTCCCCAGTTTCTTATCCCCTGCAACTCAATTTGTTGAGGATTCAGAAGGGTGAGTGTGTGTGTGGGGAAAACAAGGAAAAGTAATAGCTGTCAGTTTGCCTCTGGCTGGTGCAGATGGTTGACTCGCTGGGCTGCTAACATAAAGATCGGAAGTTTGGGTCCACCCCGAGGTGCCTTGGAAGAAAGGGCTGGTGATCTAGTTCCACAACATCAGCCACTGAAAGCCCTATGGAGCTCAGTTCTCCTCTGACACACATGGGCTGCCAGGAGTTGCTGAGTCACTCCATTAGACTAGAGCCCATTTTCCTGGCTAAAGCTGCTATCTGTTGGGTATACTCACTGAGAACCTTTCCTGCACCCTGTCCTGCCTTGTCTCTGGTCAGTGGGTCCTGGCTGCCAGGCTGGCCTGTCTTGATCTTGTAGATCCAAGATGTCTCTGGGAGAGGAGAAGAGGAGATGAGCTGCATTCTAGAAAGTGGTCTAATATTTGGCTGTGGAATTTTCCATTTTCCACGGATAGGGCTGGTGAGGGTTAGGTCAAAGGGCGGCAGTGTTGCTGAGGCAGGGGAGATGGGCTCGGGGAGGTTACTCCCATTTTCGGTTGTATATCCATTTGCTCAGGTACATTAGGACTAACCTTTCTCCTGCCACTCTCCTCTTGGATACCAAGAAGAGAGGGGTGGGGAGAAGAGCACTTAGGAGCTTATTTACTCAGTCCAGGTGAGAGCACAAATGGGCAAGGTTAGTGTTTTAAGTGAGGGAGTGGAGAGCAAGGTGCAAAGCAGGAGGCAAATATTCCGCTCCAGGATGTTTTGACAGTCTGAGAGTGCCTTTGGCAGATGTCTCTTGTACAAACCAGCAGAAAGCCTGTGCCATGAGGACTTCATATTCTAGTTTCCAGCCTGAAAACAGCTCATACTCTGATGCACCCATTAGGTGGCTGGTTGCAGTTGTTTAGCATCTGGCCTGCCTTTATACCCAGACTGGAGGTGGGCTTTTGTTTCTTAAGTCCAGCTCTTCTAATTTGGAGTCAAGCTGGCAGGTCCCATTCCCAGAGTTTGGACTCAGTAGGGCTGGAGTGTGCCTGAGAATCTGCATTTCTATAAGTTCCCAGGTGTTGTTGATGCTGCAGATTCAGGGACCACACTTTGAGAACCATTGGTCTAGTGGAATGGTTCTTAAGCTTAGCTGTATATCAGAATCACTTTGGAGAGCTCAAAAAAAAATGCTAATGCTTGGGTCACACCCCAACAGATTCTGATGCAATTAGGCTGGGATGTAGCCTATGCATCTGGAGTCTTAAAAGCTCCCAGGTGTCATAGTTTCTTAGTGCTGCTATAACAGAAATACCCCAAGGGGATGGCTTTAAGGAATGGACTTTTATTTTCCCACAGTTTAGACTGGAAGTCAGGGCACTGGCTGTAGGGGGAAAGTCCTTGTCTCTGTCAGCTTCTCTTCCTTGGGTCCTTGGTGATCTCCAGGTGGCATCAGTCCTTCTCCATCGTCCTTGTCTTTGCCTAATCTGTTCTTTTTATATCTCAAAGGTGATTGGTTTAAAACATACTCTACACCAATATGATGGCATTAGCATAACAAAGAAAGCCCAATTCCCAAGTGAGATTACACTACAAGTGTAGGGGTGAGGATTTACAACACATATTTTGGGGTGGTGGGGGGACACAATTCAATTCATGTTGTTGTTGTTGTTATTGTTTGCCATCGAGTCAGCCCCGACTCATAGCGACCCCTCCTTGGGTTTCCGAGGTGATATCATTACGGAAGTAGGATTGCCCAACCTTCCTTAATTCAATTCATAGCACCAGGTAATTCTGATATGCAGCCAGGACTGAGAACCACTCTCCAATGACAAAGGCACAGAATTTGGAGCCCAGACACCTGGGTGCTAGCCCTACACCCTGTGTCTTCCACTGGGCAGATGACTTCACCTCTCTGTGTGCTATTTCTGTATCAGGCACTGTGCCAAGTATAGGATCGAATTGTCATCACAGTCTAGAATCCTCACAACAACCTACTAGGTAGCTCCTAATTGTTGTTGTTATGTGCCATGGAGTCGGACCCAACTCATAACGACCCCCCTCCTTGGGTTTCCAAAGCAGTATCACTATGAAAGTAGATAGCTCCTAATTAGTACCTTGATTTTACAGGTGAAGAAACCAAGGCACAGGGTGGGGGGTGGGGGTGTGTGACTTGTTTTGCCCCAGGCCACACAGCTTGTAAGTTGTAGGTGTTGGAAATTGGCAGACAGGCCATCAGCTTGTGTGGGAAGCCATGGGCAGCTACCAAAGAGTTTGTCTTGACAACATGTTGTGTCCTTTTTCTGCCCGCTTGTGCCTTTGCACATCCAATGTCCTCTCTGACCTTCAGGTTGACACATTTATGCTTTGGATTTTTTTAGAAGTTGGGCTGAGAACAAATAAAAGTCTTTCTTTGGCAAATAAAGCCCAGTGAGCTGTGGAAAATGAGGATCGTTTTTACCCTGAGCCTAATGAAATGTAAAAATCTAGACTCCCATATGTCTCTCCATTTCTCTTTCCACTCCTGTCTCCATTCTTGCTATTCTCTAATTTCACACTTTAGTAACTTTCATCTCCACTGTTGTTGTCACCTAACTGCCCCTCCGGTCTCTCCTCACACTAGTATCCCCCACACCAGTGCCTATTCTGTGCTAGTCACTGTGCAAGGAAAGAGCTTTTCATACATTCAAGGGACACCTTGTGAGTTAGGTGTTATTATTATCCTTATTTTACAAGTGAAGAAGCTGAGGCTTGGAGGCACAAAGGGACTCACCCAAGGTCATCCAGCTAGGAAGTGGTGGCCAAACAGGGATTGGAATCCAGTTCTCTTCACTCCTGGAAAACTGGTCTTTTTGTGACTCCATGTTGCAGGAGCTTGGGTGTGGTAGGCAGAATGACTCCCCCACAAATCTCCACATTCTAATCCCCAGAACCTGTAAATATGTTACCTTATATGGGAAAGGGGCCCTGAAGAGATGATTAATTTAAGTACTTTGAGATGATTCTGGATTATCCAGGTAGGTCCTAAATGTAAGAGGGAGCCAGGAGATTAGAATATTAGGAGATGTGATGATGGAAGCAAGATCTTGGAGTGATGTGAAGAAGGGGTCACAAGCCAAGGAATGCAAGTGGCCTTTAGAAGATAGAAAAGGCAAGGAAACCGATTATCCCCTTGGAGCCTCCAGAAGAAACCAGCTTGGCCAACACCTTGACTTTAGCCAAGTAAAGCTGATTTCAGACTTCTGACCATGAGAACTGTGAGATAACAAATCTGTGTTGTTGTAAGCCACTAAATTTGTGGTAATTTTTTATAGCAGCAATGGGAAACTAATACACTGGGCTAAAGAGTTAACATGGGAGCTCTGGTAGCATAGTGCCTAAAGGCACTTGACTGCTAACCAGAAGGCTGGCGGTTCAAACCCACCTCGGGAGGAAGACGGAGCAATCTACTTCCACAGTGATACTGCCTCGGAAACCCAAAGAGGGGTTGCTATGAGTCGGGTCCGACTCGACGGCACATAACAACAACAACAAAGGGTTGACATGAGACGGTGGGTTAGTTCTTTCAAATTGTCTCTGATGCATGGTGACCCCATGTATGACAGAAGGCTTCTATGCCATCTTCATGACCATTGGTAGGTTTAAGTCTGTCTTTGAGGTCACTGTGTATTTTGAGTGTCTGACCTTGGGGCTCATCTTCCAGCACTAAACTGGACAGTAGTCTGTTGTGATCCATAGGTTTTCACTGGCTAAATTTTAGATCTCCAGGACTTTCTTTCTACTCTGCCTTAGTCTAGAAGCTCCACGGAAACCTATCCACATGGTTGACCCTGTTGATATTCGAAAAACTGGTGGCTGAGCTTCCATCGTAGCAGCATACAATCCACCACAGTGTGACAAATTGACAGATGAGCGGTGACATGAGCAGTAAATTCAAAAACTAAGTCCTGGTTATATCGCTGCTCAGCAGTAGCAACTGGCTAAGGGATATTTGCTTGCAATGCGTTACAAAGGTTCCTACTTAGTAGGGACATAGTAGGGAAAGAGCAGCTTGCTAGTCTGAGATGCCAAAATGCAAGTGATCAGGAAGCCCAGCAGAGGGCACTCTGCAAGGAAAAAGCAATCCCAGGAAAGGCTTTGCTTTTATCTAACTGTTGGGGGTGGGGGAACTCACCGCTACAGAGTTGGGGAGCTCTGGTAGCATAGTGCCTAAGGCATTTGACGGCTAACCAGAAGGCTGGCAGTTCAA